CTCAACCACGGTGCTGTGGCCGGTTTGTTGGACTCTTAACAGGCCGGACCATGAGTGCTTCTGCTACGGCCTCTGCGGTGCCTTGAGATTCTTTCAGTGGTGCCAGGGTTGCAAACATTCATGTGATAAACCTAGAGATTTCAAATGGGAATCTGTAGCATCAAAAATATTCTGTCCTGTTGGGTCTTTCCGGGTTCTTTGCAACAGAAGAGTTGCTCTAGTATTTTCCTGTAGTCAAAAAGAGAGAGAACAAAGGGATGCCTCAAGTCTAGAAAGGTTGAGAACCACTGGTACTCTTCAGTTGTCACAGAGCATGTCCTGGGGCTTCCCACAAGAGCCTCATCACTCCTGCTTTGCACCTGGGAGGGCAGAGGTGCATGTGTGTGGGGGGCAGGGGGAGTCAGTAGATTGACTGATGCAGAAACTAGCACCATTTTAGAGAAGTATGGATGACAGGAAAGGCCATGCTTATGCGAACAAATCACCTTTAGTCCTGCTAGCTGCCCTGGGGCTGCTTGTGCCATGTGCCAGTCATTCAGCTCTCAAACATGCCCCTAGTCTGTCCGCACTGTTCAGGGATTGTAGTTTATCAGGGATGGTAAAGGAGTGTGTGGATCTTGCAACAGGGTAGGGGAGTCGCTTTGAGCAACAGTTCAATGAATCCTCCCTCCTTCTGCATGGTTAATCAGTTCACCTGACTGATTATTGGGTAATTGCCGAACTTTCACGCTTATCCATTATTTGCTCCTGTGTTTCCTGCTGAAGTACTCGGAGAGCTGAGCAATGAAAGCTGGAGGTGACTTTTCCATGACTGCTGCAGTATCATTTTACTAGTTGGCTGCTTGACAGCATAGCATTGGAAATGAAATCTGCATCCCTTCCAGGGGGTGTTCTGCTTCTGCAAGGCATTTGCAGCGTGGATTATCGCACAATGGCATCGCTGATGGGCACTGATTGTGCTTGCGGGCTGCATCTGATACAGTGGATATTGTGGATATACCTGCTGCTGTGACTTCGGGGTGCTTGTGTGTGTTGTACAGTCCCAAGACTTGTGCACAAAACTTTCAAGATGGCCTTCCAGGTGCCAGGGACCCAGCAGCAGAGCTGCGTTATGGGCAGATAACACTGAGTCTACTTCCAAGACTTCTTTAAGAAGTGGGGGTTTTTTGATTCTCGACTTTCAAGTTTGGTTGTTTCACCCACTTCAGGAAATATTTGCTCTGTATTAACTGAGCGTTGACAGTATTCTCCTCCAAACAGACACCCCCAGTACGTTTGGCAGCTTAGCAGCTCTGGACTTTTGCACTGTTGTCATGTTTGAGAGGCCTTCCAAACTCATTCAGTGCTATGATTTTAAGTCTGTTTGTACTTAAAGAATCAGCAGCAGCATCCAGGCTCATACAAATTACTTGGCCTTTCTCTCATATTTTTCCCCTAAAAGTTTTAACTGGTTTGTTCCTAGCAGAAGGGAGACAAATGCCTTATTTTACAGAATTGCAGAAAATGAAGGTTGGAAGGGCCTGTAGTGGTTACATGTAGTCTAACCTCCTGCTCCAAGCAGGACCAGCTCCAGCTACATCATCCCAGACAAGGCTTTGTCTACCTGGGTCTTCAAAACCTCCAAGGATGGAGACTGCACCACCTCTCTGGGGAGCCTGTCCCAGTGCTTCACCACCCCCTGGTGAGAGTTTTTCCTAATATCCAACCTCAACTTGCCTTGCTGCAGCTTGAGCCCATTGCTCCTTGTCCTGTCACCTGCCCCCACTGAGACCAGTCCAACTCCATCCTCTTTGCAACCCCTTGAAGGGAGGTGAAGGCTGCTATCAAATCCTCCCCTTGGTCTTCTCTTCTGCAGACTAAAGTAGCCCATTTCCCTTGGCCTCTCCTCACCAGTCCTGTCCCCCAGCCCCCAACCACTTTCATTGCCCTCCACTGGACTCTCTCCACTGTGTCCACATCCTTTCTGTAATGGGGGCCCACAGGTGGACACAGGACTCCAGATCTGGCCTCACCAGTGCTGAATAGAGGGGAAGCATCACTTCCCCTGACCTACCAGTGCAGCCCAGGATGCCATTCGCCTTCTTGGCACCAAGGGCACACTGCTGGCTTCTGTTCAGCTTCTTGTCCCCTGTCACCTCCAGGTCCTTTTGTGCAGAGCTGCTGCCCAGCCCGTCACCCCCAGCCTGCACCGGTGCATGGGATTGCTCCCTCCTAAGTGTAGGACTTTGCACTCGTCCTTGTTGAACCTCCTGCAATTTTTCTCTTTTGGCCCAGTCCTCCAACTTGTCTAGGGAACTGAATCCTAGCCCTACCCTTCAGCATATCCACTACTCCTTCCAGCGTGGTGTCCTCCGTGAACTGAGGGTGCACTCCATGCCATCTTCCAGGTCCTTGATGAAGATTGTGAACAAAACCAGCCCCTGGACCGATCCCTGGGGCACTCCACTTGACACCAGCTGCCAACTAGATATCGAGTCAGTGACTGCGAGTGGGAGCTTACTTCACACAGAGCTTTTGTTTCCACCTACACCAGTTAACACGACTCTTGTGCAAATGCTTATTAAAATGCTGAGACGCAGATTTTGTTTTCCTAGCCCTGGAAATCTGAACATCCCCTCCCCTGCCCCCAAACCACAAACGGCTCTGCTTTCTTAACAAAACGTGAAACACTGCATGGCTCTTCTGGTCCTCTCCCTCCTTTCTGATCTTTCAGCTCTGCAGGTTTATTCAAAGCTGCTTTGTGGCTGATAAGACCTGTAGCCACTTCCTTTTTGGGTAATTTGCTGCTTAGGCTCTTTGACCCTAAATGGATGCAAGGTAGGAACAGAGTTTTATGGGTCCCCAAGCAGTACGTGCAGGGCTGCCCTTGTGGGAACAGGGCTGTAAGAGGTTTTTGTCGGCCACTGGAAGAGAAGTCCAGGAGACCTGGGCGAATGCTGGTATGTCAGCCCATGGAAATGGAGAAGAGCCAAAGCTTTGGTGGGGCTGGGTAAAACTGAATAGAGAAACAGTCTGACTTTGAACAGGATATAGTCTTTAATTGGAGTCATATGGGTTGGTGCAAACAGAGCCAAGGGATGCAGCCAGCCAAGTATTTCTGTTGCTCCAGTGCTGGGGGGAAGGGCTCTCTGGGACCATCTCTGAAATTTTGTCTCGGAGAATCAGGCTCTTGATTTCCAGGCGTTTATGGAAGTACTCTATTGAGGGCATCCACCTCCCCAGATCTTGTGGGACGTTGCACATGACCCTGCTTAACTGATCTCTTGATTGGGTAATAGACAAACACTGATTTCCTACAACTTTTTCCTTCCAAGGCTGCTATGTATTGGTTTTCTATATTGTAATTGCAATACTGTCGCTTCTAGGGGAGGGGGTGGTGGGAGGCATATGCTGTTATTCCTGGTTGTTCGGGGCTGGTACAGTACAGCCAGTTGGCATCGGTTCTCCTGTTTGTTCCTGCGAAGATTTGTAATCTCCATGCTTCTCCTGCTTTGGGCCCAAACCCTTTCTATAGTCTTTGGTGTACTGATGAGCTATGCTATTGCCAGGCCGCCAGTTTTTCCAATGCAACCTGTTCTGACCTGTGCTTTTCAAATTGTCCTTTTTCCAAATTTTTCCTTTTTTTTTTTTTTTAAACTTAGCACACTTGGGAAAAGCTTATGTTCCCCAAGTGTCGTTTATAGCTGCTGGAGGTTGACTTGCTTCACAGTCATAAGACAGCTTTTGGGGTGACTTAGGCTGTATGTAATCACTTAACTTTTGTGTGTTGCTTTTTTTTTTTTTAAATTGGTACGGTTCTGTTGTGGAAACTCTGACGGCAAATAGCTCCTGGTATGTGGATTTTCAAGGAAAACATCTTGGTGTCATACGGCAAGGGGCTATTTGTCAGAAAGCAAATAAGATCTGTGTATTCATTCATGCAATGAATATGCTGCTCTTCCCCATAAAGGCTCAGGGTGGCTTACAGGAAGAGAACAGAATAACTTGAAAGGGCAGAAATACTGTAATACTCCCAATGTTGTGAGATGGCTGCACTTTTGCAGGGCAGAGATTGCCTGCACACTGTCTCATTTGTATATGAGGGGGCAGGAGCCTTTGTAAAAACTGTTTTCCTGCCCCCCCGATCCATTTTGGAAGACTATATTTGCAATCGTGCTGCGTGCGACAGTCTTGCAGGGCTTCTATTTTCCTTTGCACATGTTCATATCCCCAGCAGACAAAACAAGCAATAATCATAAGGTTGACCTAGTCCCCGAAATATGGCATTTAGGAGCTCTCTGTTAAATTTAAAATGTGTGAAAGGGGACCCGGCCTCTTCGGTACCGTTAATCATTATGCTGTCTACTTAATGTTTTGACAACCTTGGTGGCTCTTCTCGTTTGACACGTTGGGAGACAGGCTGGCAGCAGCCGTAAGCTGAAACCCGGTGGTGTTCAGAATGGGATTTGTTGTAAAAGGAAAATATTTGAAGTGCCAGGCGTGCGCTTTTCCTAAATTAAAAGCGGTTCCATTTTTGTCGAAATACAACCACGCATTCCACTTGCCGCACGGCCGCAACTTCGTCTGCCATCAGCCGACCCGAAAGCTGCTTTCGGTGTCGCGTGGTGGTGGGACGAACTTGTCTCCTGCCAATATTTATAACATCCTATTTAACAGGACGGAGCATGACCCTCCTCTAGTGTCAGTCAAAAGTTAATTGGACTAATATGTTCATTCCTTGAAGGTGGATGCCTGCAGCTCTGAAAACCGTGGCTCCGCGGTGGTAACGTGTCACGCATACTTGTCTCATTTGCTAGCAATAAACCTAAAATATATGACTCAGAGGATGAGCATGCATAGAATGTATTATTAGCTATTCCTTTCTATCGCCCGGCTATCAAGTACTGGACAATCAGAAAATAGAACAGGGCCGATGGGAGACTGTCTACATATTGTTTACGGGGTATTTCAGACCTGGGCAGTATTTACTGCGAGTCTGAGTCACTGTGGTTGTCTGCACTGCAGCAGGGGAGCTGCAAAACCAGACGCCGAGGGTAGGGCTTCCCTACGGGGACAGCCACGGTGACAGCCACGGTGCAAAGCGGGACCGGAGGAAGAACTGCTCCGCCTGCCTCGGCTGTCTCTGCACCCTTGGAAGAAGGAGGGGAAACTTTTATCCAAAGAGTTATGAAGTCTGAAGAAGACCCTGAAGATGGAGAAAATATCCTGGGGGAACCAAGCTAAGTGAAGGATGGAGCAGAATAAATGTCGAGCAGTAGACGTAGCCGGTGTCCTCGAGCAGCCTGCTTTGAACTCCGGCTGGGCGCTTGCTTTGTGAGCTTCAGCAATTTTAAACTGAATGCAAGATAAATTATTTGCTGCTGGCAGCAAATTCTAGGATGAGCTGTTGGTTTTCCTGTGCTGCAAAAAACACAGTAGGTACCTTTTGTGTTTCATGTTACTGGGAGACTTTTTTTATAGCAAATTTCTCATTATTCCACATGTCCCTCATTTTCATCAGCCTTAATATTGTCTGCTTGTTGGGAATTTCCAGGCTAAAATTTTAAACGTGGAGCTGTTCTCTGAGGTACTTAACAGGCACTTGGGTTACTGGACCATAGTAAATCGACATAATGATTTCTAGAAAGAGATTATTAATAAACCTTCATATAAATTGTACTCTCTTACACCTAATACTAAGCATTTTTACGCTAATTATCTTAATCTTGAAGATCTTAATTGTTGGTTTAACATAACAGACTTGTTTCATTTGAAAAAGGGCTTCCATTTTTTAAAGGCCCTTGGTTGCATTTTGAATTAATTCCTGCATGTTGAAAGTCAAGCCTGAAAATCTGACAATTGAAAGCAGCTGTTTGCATACGGAGCAGTGTGAGTCTTGCATTGAATTGGACACGTTGAGTGCTTAAAGAAGTGGGGAGTATTTAGAAAGGAGAAAGTGCTGCTTGTCTACATGTTCCATATTTATATTCTGTGCAATTAAACTCTTAATAGCTCATTGCAGCTTCGCAGAGCTGCACGGAAGAAAACTAAGCATCACGCAGGGGGTCTAAGCAAAACAGCTTCCCCCCCCAGGAATTTATTTATTATTTATTTAGATGGATTATTGGAGGAATGACACCAAAATGTGTTAATTGTCAGTGCAAGTAAGGGTAGATCTGATTCTTAGACTAACCAAAGTGTGTGTACGTGCACCTGTGATCTACTTGGGTTACAAGGTGTGAATCTACCCTGCCTTCCACTACTCTTTAGACTAACGGGGCTAACTCATAGCGACTAGGAGAGAAATTCCAACACAGTGGCTTTTTATGAGCAAACAAAAGCCAGGGTGCAGATGCATTACAAAATGCACTTTGCCTTGATCTCCCTGCATATTGGTTACTTAAGGTACGAGCCATAATGGCTCGGTTATTTTTACCAAGTGTCCTGCTAGGTATCCATTGCTTACTGTTGCATTACAGCAGACAAGAGAGGCTCTGGTCATGCTCATGGCTCCACTGTGCACCTTCCATGGTGCAAATTCAGATTCCTGTTCCAAACCTGCAGAGGAGACCTTGTAACTGCCCATTGGTCTTACTACTTTACTGAGTGACTAGAGACGGATGTCTTGCTGTGCGATTCCCTAGACCTGCCTGGTTTGAATATGCCCCAAAACCTCTCATGTTCCTTAATTCAAACTACCCCCCACCCCCATGCTGGGAACACTTGATTTTTTTTCTTTTTAACCCCTATTTTTGAAGCAGATACATTTATATGCATTTCAGCCTTATTTTCCTCTATCTTGTTGCCTTTTCTCTGCATGCTTATAAAGTCTCAATGTCTTCTGTTATTTAATGTGCTTCACAATTTAAAGCTGCCAAAAAAAAAAAAGTTGCCTGCAGCATGCAACTCCAGTGTTTCATGAATGTCAAGTTTGCGTATTTGAAGTGAGAAAGTTGCATGTAGGGGTCTGGGGGTGGGGAGTGTCTCGGCTCCTCTGCTTCGGGAATTCAGTAATTGGCTAAAGATTGACTTTGCATGATCATCATCTTGCTGAAAGAAAAAGTTTCCAAACTAGCATTCAGTGAGGTGGTGCAGTTGGAAATAGCAGTGGTACTGTTTTAATGACTTTCGCAGAGAAGCTGGTCTGTGTGTAGCTCAGCGTGCCGCTATCATTCCTTCATAAGCCTGTCTTCTTTTTCTTCTTCCTTGGCCACCAGTCTTGCTAATAGGAATGGATCAGTCTGAAACTCTACATAAAAACTTTTAAGCTCGGAGTAGGCTCCCTTTTTCCCCCCTGCAAAGTGTAAGGCAGCACAAGTGGCATCGGCCAGGAGATCCAAAAACTGGGTTGCTAATGTGGGTGGATTTGTCAAGTTTCTTGGGTGACAAGCTATGTGGAAACATCAAAGGTGCATACACGTGTCTGTGGGACCAAATCTTTGATCACACGGCTTGCTTTTAAGGTGTTTGGCTGTAGATGGGGGTCCCCACTTGTGCACACATTCGCCGGTGCTGGATCCAAGCGGCGGTGGATGGTGGGGGGCATGGCCTATTGGGAGGGTTTTGGCCAGGGGTGGGTCGGAGGGCTAACAATAGCTTGGTCAGGGTGGGGGTATAGGAAGAGCACAGCCTGGGTGCTAGGGTTGGGGCAAGTGGCCTGGCTCCTCCAGCCCTGGGGCTGCTCATCAAATGTGTGTACACATTTGGTTACGATGGGCTTGGTGTAGCCCAATCAGTGTAGCGCACCTCCTTAGGTGAACTAAGTAGGCTGGCTGGTTCTGCCCAATCTAAATTCCCCAAATGTATGTGCAGTTCAGCACTTGGGTCCACCTAACCCTAGTTAGTTTGATCTAAGTGTACCACCAGCAGCCACCCCAGATGCTTTATTCTCCTGGCATTGAGGGGAATGGGTATGGTTGTCTCATGATTGGCCTAGCCTTGATACTCTGTAGGAAACTTGCAGCGGTTGATTTTGAGATGTGAGCTCCCTCATTCTCGTTTTTCTCAAAACAGGGCTAAGCTTTGAAGACTGCACAAAGATGACTAGAATTTCTATCCTAATGGCAGCTAGCAGCCCTGGAAACCCGTCTTCTCATATTCATTCACTGCCAGCATGGAGTTTTCATGTTAGACTGGGAAAAAGGTACCTAGCTGGTTCCGTTCTGGTCCAGCTAACTTCAAGGAGTATCATTAGGAGTTGTAACTCGGATGGGATTTTTGCACTGAAATAAGTGGGTGTTTGGAAAGGTATAAGTAACACTGACACTAGCATGCATCGGTACACACTGCCCAAGAAGGGGCCTAGCCATAAGGTCCTGTAACCAAAGGCTGACCGTTCCACAGGTAAGTTGGAATTACGCATTCCCTGTAGTCCATGCTGGGGCCCATTCTCCTTTGTAAGGACTGAGTGCTGGCAGCCACAGACCAACCTGCCTTTCCTAAGACCCGCCTGAGTTTCAGCCTGAGTCCCAGTGTCCCCAAAGAGCCCCTGAAATGGGCCTGAATTGGAAACATTGGTCCCAAATTTATGGCCCCCCTTGCAAACGGGTAGCAGGCAGCACTTATGCAGCTGGGGAAACTGAGGCATGGCCATTGAGTGACTTGGCCAAAGCCGCTTAAGACCCCAGTAGAAGAGAAAGGAGCAGAACCCACTTGCCTGGCCCCTTGGCCACCTCATGCTGTGTGGCTGTGCCGCTTGCCCCACAAGCCCCTGCCTATCCTTGACTGGGGTCTGGGGCTCAGGAAGAGAGACACGAAAAGCACCAGATCCTTGGAACTTTTTTTTTGAGGGGGGCGGCAGGCAGCCGGATGGATTTCAGGGACTTTATATTGGTCCTGACCTGGAGTCAGTTCCACTGGCCACTCTCTGCATTGTGGTCTTCTCATTAATGGCCTGATCATGCTGGTTTCCTTTAATTCCCTTCTCTCTAGCTGCAGTAGTCCTCTCCTTCCCATATCGCAGTGAGGTCCAGCACCTCATCGCTGCTCCGATTAGAAGCCTGTCTGCCAGGGTCCAGGGTGGACAGCTTTAGGCTCATGCTGGCTGAACTGGAGGTCATGGGAGAAGAAGCTTGGGCTGGCTAGCTGGTACATGCTCTGCACAGTGTTTGCACTAGTTTGCCCCCCTGGGGTTGGAAGATCACACCCCTGGGATGGGAGAGGGGTTGACTTGGTGCCAGAACCACCCCCTGGGCAGTAGAGTTCAGGGTGGGGAGGGGCCATGTGCATCCTGGGATACTGGAAGTCTTCAGTTTAGGCAGAATAGTTGCCTGTAGTAGCCACACCTTAATGGAAGAGAAGCAAAATTAGGCGGACTAGTGATAATCCTGCTCTGGAGTGGCATAACCTTAAGCCACTTAAAATGTATCAACCCCTGGACTGGCTGGATGTTAAGAGCTCCGGAAGCCCCATATAACAAAGCCCTTGGTTCCTGCTCTTGCAAAACTGCTTTCTTTGATCCTCTGATCTGTTGCCCACTTGTTTGTCATTTTGCCATTGAACAATCCCCATCCTTTTTTTTACTATTTAAAACCTTGTGTTAGTGTCACAAATCTAATTGCAATACTGAAGCAGGAACCCATTAGAGAGCATTGCACTTGGAGGTTAAGCTGTCTGGAAACATTAAGCTGCATTTTTTTTTAAAATTTTTTTCTTTTTTTTTTTTTTTAAAGAAGGAGAAATCACAGTTAAGAACGGCTTGTTCTGCTCCTGTTTGACTGTTAGCAAAAGAAATGAAAGGGAGGGCAGCACTGACAGCATGCATCTTGATTGCATTAGGTGCTTTGGACATTTCTAAGCCCTTTACATGGATGATCTTGCTGACATTTGTTGCACGCTACTATAACACTTAATGTAAAGAGTGGCAGTATTTTCCACATCAGTAAAGCAAACTCATTTTAAGAGCTTGTATTCTCCAGAAAGATATGCTTGCATGTCGGCATCAGAAGCAAGTGCACTGAGGTCAGTTGTTTGAGGCAGAGGCTTGGCGCACAGTTTTTTTCGGATATAGAACTGGTCTGATATCCTGAGACTTGGCATGGATGTTAGCTACTCTTATCTGAAGCTACTAGGAGCTGGCATAAGTACCACTTAACTTGCATCATAGAGCTGCTGAAGGGCGCTGGATGACACTTCTGTATCCTAAATAGTTGCTTTCCGAGTCAAATGCTCCCTTCCCAGGCCTCGGTTCTCCAGCCAGTTTAATAGTTATCGTGAAGACGTTTTGCTGAAAGTTTTGATCTCTTGCACAAGTAGAACATGGTGTGCTGGCTGGCAAGGGGCAGAATAAGAGTTTCTGCAGTTCGTCTGCTGTCCTATGTCTGTTTCTATACTTTGGCTCCTTTTTAATGCACAGTTTTGAATTTCTGGACTATCATGTAAAAGTTCCCATAGGTAGAAAATAAACTTCATATTACACAGCCTGGGACGGGGCACGTGTGCCCAAAAGCTTGCAAAGAAAGATTTTGTTGTTGTTGCAATTTCTTACTCGGTCTTATAAAAGGTATCGTCTCCAAACCAAGAGTTTGCGCGTTTTTCATTTCTTTTAGTCTCAGACCAGTACGGCTACCAAATACATCTCATGACTAGCATGTGGCTCCCAAGAGCCACCTGGTTTTCTCTAGGCACTTTCCCTTTAGGTACGTACTATTTTATAGGTTTTGAGACCTGCCCTTCTCACTGGAGCATAAGCACCGTGCAGGAATGTACTAGGTAACTTGACTAACGCACCGTTGTACGTGGCTGATCTCTCCTCCGCTCCCCAGCTGGAGAATTGTGCATCCACAGCTGTGTCTCATTTTGCATAAGCTTGTTTAAAAAAAAAAAGTGTGTGTGGTGTGTGTATGTGCACACGTGTAACACACTTGCTGAATATATACCGGACGGTGGAGGTTTCCAGCTTGAGTTTTAATTTTATTGAAAGGGTTTTGCCTGGGAATTGAAACCTAGACTGCGCCTAGCTTTTTCCTGGGGCAGCCTGGAGAGGTTCAGGTTCTGCAGTCATCTCATGCGTTCTTCTTTTTTTCTCAATCCTTTCTTTTTACAGCTGAATACAGACTGGAACAAATATGACGATCGGTTGATGAAAGCAGCTGAAAGGGGAGATGTGGAGAAAGTGTCATCAATCCTTGCCAAAAAGGGAGTCAATCCCACTAAACTGGATGTGGAAGGGAGGTCTGCGTAAGTAGCTCCCAAGAATCTACGGGGAGGTTGTCTTGGTCCCATCTTTACCCCTCTCTGCACAGGGTGTTCTCATAAATTCCCACCGTGCTGGAAACCCTTCTCATTAAAACAGGAGATATTAAACCAAAGAAGGAGATGTTAAACCAAATATGCAAATGGCATATTTTTCTACAAGAAGGCCCAACTGCATAAACTCGTATAGAAAAATCACACTTTGTCTGCTCAGGGCTGTCAAACCTCCTGCAGGCTGCAATGAGAGCAAAGATAAATCATTCTTTAGTGCCTGCTATCCTCCATGAAAGAAATGCCTGAACCCCCATGGCTTGGAAGGCCAAAGGGCACAGCTGTTACCCTCAACTCTGCTCCTTGAGGTAGTGATAGCCTGAATGAAGTGCATTTATTCCCGTGGGCAAGGTGAGGCTCTTGTAGAGTGGTAGAGAGGGAGGAAGAGGCAGAGAAGAGACATTGTAAAGCAGAAGGTTAAGGAAAAACCCATTTTGCTGAAATTTGTGCAGCAAAGGATAATTCCATGGATGTAAGAGACTTGGCCCCTAAAGGTAACAGCGGGTGACCTAACTATCCCTATTGTCTTCTTGTTATACAGATGAATGGTGTATCTGTGTGTATGAATCATGTGCATATATATAAATGAGCTTTATCTGTACAATAATATAGACACTTCTTTTTTTTTTTGCAGAGCATAGAAAAAATTATCTTAAACTTCTCTGCTTTGGGACCTGTCTGTTTTCAAATTTTGTACAAATTTTATTTTATGTGAATAATGTGGAGGTTTGCTAAAACCTTTTGACTTCCCTATTTTAATCTTGTCACAAGTGTTGAAGGCAAATACAGTTGGTATAAAAAAAAAAAAGCAATCTTCAGAACTAAAAATGAGTTTGAAAAGCATTCTTCAGATATTACTGCTAGCCATTTGGGGTTGAAATATAGCCTGTACTTTCAGGCTGTTCAACAAGTTTTGCATTGTATTATTTGCAGTAGGTAGTAGAAATGCATGTGCTAGGGAGGAATATTTTGTAGTTCAGTTTAAAATAGTGTCTTTCTGATCCTTGCTGAACTGTTCTGGTTTCTGGAGCGTACTTTGTCAAAACGTGTTATTTCTGCCAAGTACAGGGGCCTTTGGCTATTCACTTAGCTATTCTTTGTTTTCAGTCCCTTTCCCCCCCGCCTATTGCTCATGGTTTAATAGCTCTCCTGGTTTAGTGAATGGATGTGTGCATGATAAAATACAAGTCTGGAGGTAGAATCAGTATTCTCCTGGAATGCAGCCAGGGGATCCAGCTGTAGCTTTTAGAGGTGGCTTATCACTTGGCTTAAATATTTTATGGAAGAGTGGTAGTGTGGTATTGTGTATCCAACTCTCATCTGGTTAGACGGGGCTCTGGTCCATGCCTGTTGGTGGGCTGAGCTACAGCCATGGATCCTGATGGGTAAACTAACCTCCAATAATTGCTCCGTTGTCTGGAAAAGAAGCTCCAGTGCTTTAAATGACCCTCCGTGACTGTGGTATACCCTACCTTCCTCTGAGTCCCTAATATTTAAAAATAGAGAGGTCCAGACTTCTGTGTCCTACTGTTAAAGCATTTCATTTCTGCACCTGTCAAATCCCAGAGAGCAAAGCAGGAATGACAATGTGGAGGTGGTTGGACTAAACAGGAAATGTCTGGACCCAGTGGATTTTGAGAGGGGTGAGGTGCAGAAGGAATTGTTCTGTACCTGAATTGATCCATCATCTTTAATAACTGGGTTGATGGTTCAAAACTCCCCTGGTTCTTGTCACAGTCAAGTTGGCCTTCCCCGTTGTTCATAAAATTTGGACAGAAGCCTGGGTGACTAAAACTCCTTCAGAGTATGAAGGAGCCATACTTTGAGCATTTAAATGCTTCGTCTTGCCAAATTTGACATGATTTAGAAGTGGACAGCCTGTCTAACTTGCTCATTCTCAGGTACACACCCAATAACCTTACCTGCAAGCCGAGAAATGACTCCTTTCTGCCTTGGAAAACTCTGTCACGTAAGCCTAGAAAGGCACAGTTTTATCTCTCTGTTTCCATTTTAGGTTTCATGTTGTAGCATCAAAGGGAAATCTAGACTGCTTGAATACCATTCTTCTACATGGGGTTGATATCAAAGCCACTGATGCTGCAGGTATGTTCTCTCAAACTTTGAGACAATGTTTTCAAAAATGCTAGCATAGGTTAGATAACCTTGCAGGAGTAAGGCCAGGGTGGATGGACCACTGTTGCCCTGCTGCAAAAATTTAAAGCGCAAAGAGCAGGGAGTACATAGTTTGATAGTAGCTACAGGCCTTCTGAATAACCAGGATCAAGCCACGGTGAGACATGCACTGCACATACCTCGTTAAGTGATACTGAGCCTAAATGAGGTATGAACAGTTGAATTAACAGGCTCACTTCAGCTAAAGGGCTGTTGTTAATGTAGGATAACATATAGGATTGAGAAAATGGTTTGTGCCCTTTGCATGGTGTAAATGGCTGCTTATGCTAGTGTTATCTTGTACTACACGTTTGAATTGTTAGTTTCCAGCCTAATCCCATTATGTACCTTTTAACTCTTAGGGAGAAATGCATTGCATCTAGCTGCGAAATATGGACATGCTCTTTGTTTGCAGAAGCTCTTACAGGTACAAAAAACTCAACTAATAGACGCTATGTTTTCACAATTTGAACACTGAAGGAAAAGAGGCACTATTTCAGAGATGCTATCAGTACACAGACTAGTTGACTTTTAGAGCAGGGGAGTTTAAGTAGCTACTGGACTTGTGCCTACCCCAAAAATCCTTTTTATGAGGTTTCTTTAATTAAAGAATAAAGTATTTCCCCACTGCTGTGTGAATGTCCTCCCCAAAGACTAACCATACGCATGTGGAGTTGTAGAATAGATTCTGCTAAAAGCTGTTGGATGCATTGTATTAAAAAAATGGTGCATTTTATTGCATATTCAGTGCCACTTCATAGCAACACCAGGTGTTTTGCGGGGGACTTATCTGTATACATGTGTGTTTAAATTATAGTGTCCCTTTATGTCTTTGAATTCGACATCGGACTGGGAAGATGGTCTGGGTTGTCAAGTCCTGTTGTTGTAGGAATCAGGTCCCATAACCTGGTGTCGTAACATGTTCAAGTACCATCTTGAACTCCTTGTTCCTGCTGTTCCAGAACCTTAATTCTAGTTTCCAGCCTAATTCTTTTTTCGTGACTCATTTGCTCTTGTGGAAATTCATTATTTTAAACAGTTCCTTTCTTTCCTTGGCATCTTACTTGTCAGCGTGCCAGTATGCACACTGGTAACGATGCCATTTGTGTTGGCTATGGGAAATATAATTATTTCAGCTTGATGAAGAAACATGCACAGTGTTTGGGAAAGTGCTAGGAAAAGTGCCTAGAATGTAATCCTTTGCAAATAATAACTGTGGTTACCTTAGACATTGCACACGCACACTGACAAAGTGTTGAAACGTATCAAGTATGTGCTCTTTATTTCACTGCACATGTTCAGTGTTAAACAAGGCATCTGACTTTATTTGATCATACCAATTTCTAATTTTTTTTTTTTTGCGTGGCCAAGGTAAATTATAAATAATCTTCTTCAACAAGTCCAGAGTTCAAAATATAAATATTGGCCTTCTCTGTAAAGGTAGAGAAATTTTAATATAATTTTGTCTGGCTTAGCTTCTCAAAAATCCCGATTTTAAAAACTGAATTCACTTCTCCAACATACTTTTTACAGGTAGTTTTGAGTTGAGAACAATGTAATTCTATTTTTTTTATTAGCTCTTTGACTTGTAGGACAGGGAGGTCATGCATGCTAAATAAAGGAACTGAATCTTGCTAAATCTCAATCAAGAATTATTATTTTAACAGTTCAATTGTCCAACTGAAAATGTGGATTTGCAGGGCAGGACTGCTCTTCATGATGCAGGTAAACTGAGCATTCTTGTTCTATTCTGTTAATTGCTATACGGCATTTCACTTCATGTTGACAGATTTTTTTTTTTTTAGTCAACCTTATAAAACAGTGTGGTAGAAAATATCTATCATGCATGTTTATCTTCATCTAATTATATCACTCAACTGTGTTCAAGATAGCTGAAAGTACTTGGGCAGTTGTGTTGTCACGTGATTAACATTTATGACAAAAAAGGTTGGCTGAAATAGCCATTGCTTACCCTGAGCTAAGAAAAGGGATCTCTTTCTTGGAAGGAGTGTGATAAAATGCGGTTCACTTTTTTTTTTTGGATCTGCTTGTGTGAGAGGGGAAGGATTATTTTAAAAATGTCGAAGCTGTTTTGGACTCTAACCAAAATGCTTGTATGGGGATTCAGAGCTGTCATGGACTTTGCCCTCCTTAGGGGAGCAGAGATTCTGACGTGCCGTGAGCTAACAGAGAAAAAAGACTATTCAGTCTTGGAACCAACTACAGCTCTTGGATTTTCTACTAAAATCTGAAGAATGTACCAAGAGGCAGTGTTTCGGGTCACGGGTGTGCAGTGCTAGCAGACCAAAATAGCTTAGTCTTGACCTTTCTCCAAGTCTTGCCAATACCCTGTGCCCTGTTCTTACCATTGTAAACACTCGCTGTGTTCAGCTCAGTTGGCACGTGCTTTCCAGAGCATGGTACCCAAGCTCATTAAATCCTAAATGATAGGCACCCTCCATGTGTTTCTGTGTGCTTTTGCAGTTGCCTTTTTGGTGGGGAACTGTATGTTATAAACCATCCATCTTGGCTTACAGTATTCTGGAAGTGGCTGTTTACAGCTGCTCTATCCCAAACAACATTACTTTTTAGCAAAGTGGACACTCAGTGTAAGACTGAGGCCAGCTGATTTAAAAGTATAGTATTCTCTGTGTTCTTCCTGATGAGCTTTTTCTACAGCTGACGTTGAGCCATGCTGATAAGTGTAGATGGAGTTTTCTGTGGAGCCAGTCTTGTCTCAAAGTGCCGCGCTTTTAGATCTTAAGTGCTTGAATGTGTGCAGTAAATAGACCCATTGTCCTACATGGATCAAAATACAAGCAGCTGATGTTTGTTTCCTGCACTTTGCTCCATAGGATGTTGGCATCGTTCATGTAGCGTGCTTTAGGGGTGTGCATGTGCAGTAGTCCCTCTCGCTCCACGCAGCATCTTCCCTGGCTAACTCAAGGGTAGTGATGGGTTCTCGGGGGTCTTTCAGGGTCTGTCGGAGCTTGAGAAAGAGAGCGACTGTGCTGCGGAGCCTGGTAGCTGACTGGGGCATTGGGTGTTGTGGGGTTTTGTGGAAGGCTGTGCCCAGATGTATAAATAGCTTTCTTCTCCTTGTTTTGCTTTTGAAAGCGATGTCGGACTGTTCCTCTGGCATACAGCTACTGTGTGATCATGGAGCTGCGGTGAATGCCAAAGATGGGGTAAGTATATTGCTCTCTCCCCTTGCCTGAATTGTCCAGGGCTGCTCATGTCTTGTCTTCCACAATGTGTCCTTTCATTCATTTATTTTTTCCTCTTTCCCCAGGATGGGAGGACACCACTGGTGCTGGCCACTCAGATGTGTCGTCCAAGCGTATGTCAAAGTCTGCTGGATAGGGGAGCTGACCTTAACTCCAGAGACAAACAAAACAGGTGATGCATGCAGCTGGGCTGTGCTGGAAGTAGGTTTTGCATTGTTGAAGACCAGAGCTGTCCTTCAGCTTTCAGTCTTTCAAGTTTACACAGATTTACGGAAGTCTAGGGCTGGAAGGGACCTCATGAGATCATTGGGTCCAGCCCCCCTGATTTGGGCAGGAAAGACTGCAGGGGTCAAATAACACCAGCAAAGTGTGCATCCAGTCTCCTTTTAAAGATCTCCAGGGTAGGTGCCTGCACCATCCTGTTTGGGAGTCTCTTTCGGAGTCTGGTCACACAAGTTGTACGACAGATGTTTCAGCTGTGCAGTTGAATGATACCCTGTCTTATGAATATTGGTTAGATAACTCACTGTGGCAGTGGGTTATCTAATCCATCCTTGTTTCTACCAAAGCCTGTCTCAGTTGAACTTCCAGCAGATTTTTCTGTTCTTCAGTGTGTAGATTGCTGGCTTTGTAGAGCTGAAATGCTGCCGATTTGTGCAGTCATGTCAGGTGGCTGCTTGTAGTGAACTGGAAGGAGATGGATCCCACAGCTGGAAGGTCAAGGTGCCTCTCCTACACTTAAACTCATGACTGCTTACCTGCACACTACATTCATAGGCTCCCCGCTGCCCCTCTGTGGCCCCTGTTAAGGTTTCTTTTTTAAAAGCCTTTAAGTTCTTTCAAGGCCCCTGTCTGACTTTGGTGCTTTTGAGACATTTATTATGTGTGTGTTTGTACTCTGATTTTTCAGATGTAAGCTTTTCGTCCCCTACTTATTCCTGTGAAGAATAAAAGTGTAGGGTGCTAGGCCAGAACATGGGTGCATATGAAACCTGCTTCTCAAGGGCATGTGTATTCCTTCTGGGGTGGGATTACCTGTGTATCCAGGCACCTTCCAGTGTTTGGCCCAAAGTTTATGGCCAGTTTAAACTGAGCAGCTGGGTTTAATAAAAAAAAACTATCTTTGCTTTTCTGAAACCCATGACAAATCAAGGAGAAAACAAAGACTAAGTCTTATTTCAATTTTTTCCTTTAATCATGGTCATATCAATGGCGTTAGGCTGTCAAACACCTTACAGATTGGTTAAATAATCATTTAATTTGGCTTTTCTTTTTTTGGGGGAAAGTGTCTTGTCTGTAAGCAGCACAGCCTTTCATCACTGAGTTCACAAAGTACTGAACTGTTCTTTTTGAGTAACTGTCCATCAGAAATATCTCATCTTCCTCAAGTGTCTGTGTGGTCTCTTTTCCCACGCCAGGACTGCTCTAATGTTAGGCTGTGAATATGGCTGCAGGGATGCAGTAGAAGTTTTGCTCAGAAACGGTGCGGATGTTAGTTTGGTTGATGCCCTTGGTCATGACTGTGCTTACTATGCCAGAATTGGTGACAATGTTGACATTTTGGCCCTACTAAAGACTGCCATTGAGGATTCCAACAAAGGTAGGAAGAGCATGCCTGTATTTAGAAGATGTTTCTCTTTCTTTTTGTTGGATTGTTTTCCCCTCTCTCCTCTTGATGTGTTCAGATGTATCATTTCTCACACAGGGAGCATGTCTGTTTTTGAGCGGGCAGGTAGTAATTATACTCTTTATACTTTTACTCTCTCAAGAATTTTGGAATACAAATTGAAATTATAGGGGGAAAATGACTTCTTGGAAACAAATGCCTTCAGTATAAAAATGTGTTTGGTATAACAAAGCTATTAGACACTTCCCTCCCCATTCGGAATAAAATGACAAGATTCCCCAGGTGTGGCATACTCTGTAAGAATATGCTGTTAAGAAATTGCTACTCTTGTGAGGCTGTAACTAGTTTGAATTAAAAATCAAACATGGAAATGATGAATTTGAAATCGGAGCAGATGACTTGCTTAGCCTACAGCTGAAACAAGTCTAGGAGCCGGACTCATGGAAGCCAGGCAGTCGTATTTATATTGAAACTATTTGGCTTTGGATGTCTGAATATTTTTTCAGGTTATCCTGAAATCAACGTGAGCGGGTAAATATGTGCAACAATATTACTAGGTTAATGTCTACTCTGTGGCATGAGTTTGAATGGAAGAGAGCCTGTGGACAGATGTGCTGTTTGAAGTGCTTGGAGTGCCAGTGAGCATGCAGATGCTGATGCTTGAAGCCCTTCACATGTGACCTTCAAAATCCAGGAGCCTTTTGCAAAACAGAATGCTACCCTATGTGTCCGCACCCTCCAGCGCAGTGCGACCGGGTTGCCTGGTCCTCTTGCCTTCCACCCTATCCTGCCACCTCTACCTGTAGTGGGTTGGGAAGAGAGTGGGGCAGAGGCTGAGCCAACGAGCGCTCTCCTCTGTGCTTGTCCTTGGGATCCTCTGGAGACAAGGAGGGATTCAGAGGTCCACGCTCTCCAGCCCCGTGGCTGGACACAACTGCTGCTGCATGCTCTTGTGGCCTCTGTAAAAAGCACTCCAGGTGTTGGAGGAGGTGGGAGGGTGCATGTCCAATGGACTTGAAGCACTTGAAATTGGAGCAGGATTTGGAGTGCTTCAGGTAGCATCTGTCCATGCCCAAAGATGACACCCATTCTTGTGTGGGTTTTTTTTGTCTTTTTTTTAGTGAGGGACCTCACGAAGAAAGGGCAGCCTGAACAGAAGGTAAGGCTTTTCTGTACCAAATCTCTGCTTTCCTTTGCTGATTATAGAAGAAGTTTATGCCTGTTACTGCTACTCCATTTTCTTCCTTGACAATGGTTCCATCTTTGGGAAGATAGGCACACCCATTCCTCTCTGCTCACTTCTGATGGTTTCATGGAGGAGGAAGCTGCTGGTAATATAATGCGGTTTAATATAGATTTAATATAATCTAGTAGATCTTGCCTGACTAATCTGGTCTCTTTTTATGACCAGGTTACAAAGCACTTGGACGCAGGAGTAGGGGTAGATATCATTTACTTAGACTTCAGGAAGGCCTTCGATACAGTATCCCACCCCGTACTGGTGAACAAGTTAAGAAGCTGTGACTTGGATGATTACACAGTCCAATGGGTGGCAAATTGGCTAGAGGGTCATGCCCAGAGAGTGGTGGTGGATGGGTCGGTGTCAGCCAAGAAGAGAGTGGGCAGTGGGGTCCCGCAGGGCTCGGTCCGTGGACCGATACTCTTCAATGTCTTCATCAGTGACTTGGACGAGGGAGTGAAGTGTACTCTGCCCAAGTTTGCAGGTGATACAAAACTATGGGGAGAAGTGGACACACCGGAGGGCAGGGAACTACTACAGACAGACCTGGACAGGTCGGGCAAATGGGCAGAAAACAATAGAATGCGATTTAACAAGGAGAAATGCAAAGTGATGCACCTAGGGAGGAAAAATGTCCAGCACACCTACTGCCTAGGAAATGACCTGCTTGGTAACATGGAAGTGGAAAGGGATCTCAGAGTCCTAGTGGACTTCAAGATGAACATGAGTCATCAGTGTGATGAAGCTAACAGCACTTTATCGTGCATCAGCAGATGCATGACAAACAGAGCCAAGGAGGTGATACTTTCCCTCTATCGGGCACTGGTCAGACCGCAGCTGGAGTACTGCGTCCAGTTCTGGGCGCCGCACTTCAAGAGGGATGTGGATAATCTGGAGAGGGTCCAGAGAAGGGCCACTCATGGTTAAGGGCTTGCAGGCCAAGCCCTACGAGGAGAAACTAGGGCACCTGGACCTCTTCAGCCTCTGCAAGAGAAGGTTGAGAGGTGACCTTGTGGCTGCCTATAAATTCATCATGGGAGCACAGAAGGGAATTGGTGAGGCTCTACTTACCAAGGAGCCCCTGGGGGTCGCAAGAAATAATGGCCATAAGCTAGCAGAGAGCAGATTTAGACTGGACATTAGCAGGAACTTCTTCACAGTTAGTGGCCAAGATCTGGAATGGGCTCCCAAGGGAGGTGGTGTTCTCCCCTACCCTGGGGGTCTTCAAGAGGAGGTTGGATGGGCATTCGGCTGGGGTCATCTGAACCCAGCACTCTTTCCTGCCCAGGGCAGGGGGTTGGACTTGATGATCTATTGAGGTCCCTTCCGACCCTAACATCTATGAATCTATAATACATTATTCAGAATGAGAGGGGACATCCAACATTGTTTGTCAGTAAAACCTCTTCTGTTGTCTGAGCTCTGTACAAGCTATTGCTGAGCATAGCAATGACTCTTGTCTGCCATTAGTGCGCTCTCACCAAGCTCATTGCTTTGTGGAGTAGGCTTGAGATGCTTTCTTGCCTACATGAAAGACAGAAATTTTATTCTGAAGGTATCTTGAGCAATATTTTCTCCAGGCCTTTATTATTCTTTATAAATTACCCTCTGTGGCTAATGCTGAAAAGCTTATCAGCATGTGACCCAAGTTCTCCAGGGGTTTTACCTTTCACTGAAATGCAGTGAGTGGTAACCCTGCTGAATAGCCTTGCCTACTGGCTGGGATGGAAAGGGAATTCATAAGCTAAATTGCTATACTTGCTAAAGCATTTATAAAGAGAGGTGGCTGCTTTTTCCCCCCCCTTGCTTGTCGTCTGCCATTTGGTCCAGTCACATCAAAGTCAATGTGAAACATTTCTGGATGGCTGGATGGCTATATCACACTGCAGAAATATTTTGCTGAATAATACTTCATGCTGGCAGGGGCTTGGTAGGTTCTTTTATTAAAACTGCTTGGTCCCTACAACAAAAAAATGATTTGTCTGTGTGTCTCGGGCACTTCAGTGCCGATTTCTCCTTTTGTACGATTTCCAAATTAGTCAGCCCTTCTGGCTGCTTTTCTGGTCTGTGGGTGCAGCAGTGAATCTGGACCTTGCTCTTTTTAAATAGGTGGCATGTTTGTTAGTTTGGGGGTTTTAAGTTTGACTCGCATCATGGTTTAACTCTGTTGCGATGGTGGCAAATGTTTGGACTGTGTGTTTTTCCCCCCCCACAAAATAAAATAAAATCCTCCCAGACGAAGAGTGAACTAACACTGCCCTCCTGTGGAATATATAATGAAGGTACGGTGGCAACTGAAGTTGGAAGGCAGTGCCTGCACAGCAGCTGCTCTGCCCAGAGGCGAGTGCTCTCGGCAACAGAACTAAGCCTTCCTCTGTTTAAATCCCCTATTTCACGCTGCCACAACAGGTCGCTAGCACGCCCCAGAAATGGAACCAGCAGCAGGCACAGGATGAAGTGAACTTCTGGCCGTATCAGAGGGAACACCTGACTATGCAGGTAAATCGGAAAGCTGTCTGCATTGCTGTCTAGGCTCACGAAGGATTGGCATTTGGTTGCCCATTGGCACATGAAATGCAACGTCTCGCTCACGAAGTCGGTCTGACTGTACTGACAGTACAGTCTAAACCCTTCACTGCAAAACGGTTGGTACAAAAGTGTTTAGAGTTATACATGCCTTCTGCCTCCATGGAAGAGGATGCTCATCCATTGAGTCAGACAGCCTGATGCTGAGAAATGATGTATGCCCCGCACTGAGCGTACTGTCGGGGAAGTGAGAGTTTCTGCTGTCTTGCAGGACGGGCTGTAGTAATAAATTGCTGGCTCAAGCATTGGAGTCATTCCCCATAGGCAACAAGTGCAATGTGTAAAGCCATCCTGCACACAAGTTCACCAGTCTCCGGTGTGACTGGTGAGCCAAGGTACTCATTTTTCTGGCAACAACAAGCAAACCTGATTATTTTTTTTTTTTTGAGCTGTTTCACCCTTTTGCATCCCACATGTGTGTATAGTGGGTGCTCGTAAAGCATGCTGGTCAGAGACCTAAATTAGCTAAACAACAGTTTTTGTCAGCGTGTTCAGCTATTGATAGATGGTAGTGTCATAGGCCGCTAACACTCATATGAACTTCCTTTGAGCACTTCCCTGAATGACTAACTTAGGGAAGATATATTTTTTAGGCGTCTTGCCAAAAAGAATGAATCAGCCCGTTATAATTGTGTCGGCTGATTGGCATTAATGTCCTCCTCATTAAGAGTTTCATTTACATTAAGGAAAACAGCCACTTCAAAACTGTGGCTGCTATTTTGAAACATGGTGGGTACTTAACAGAACGAGATAAGAGCAGTGGCCTTAAACGTGAGAACCTGACTGCAGTCTATCAACAGGGCTACTAAAGGGCACACCTTGTTATACTGCACATCAGGGAGGGAGTAGTAGCATTAATTATGAATTTTTTTCTTTTCTTGGTTTAAATTGAGCTCTTAATTTCATTGCATATTTTATATTGAGAATATGGCTTTTCAGTAATGGAGCAGATTGTTAAAAGTTCTAGTGGTGACTTCAGAAAGCGTGCATATGTCTGGATTTGACAGAGTGGTAGGCTAATGGAAAATAGAGTAGATGCACTTATGCTAGTTTTAAAATACATGGCTAAGGCTTCATCTGTGCCGCTCCAGACATGCTGAGTTAAAAGGCTATCATTATGTGTCATGCAGATGAAGAGGCTTTCACGTTACATCATTGACCGTGGTGGCTGGGTTTCAGACACTTTAGCACAAGTTATCTTGTACATGTTGACAGGCAGCGATTAAGAAACAGTTTTTGAAGTATCTGAGTATGGACAGGCAAAGATTACGGTAAGAACTGTGCAATGTATCTAGAGACAAGCTTTCAAAGTTGCTCTAAATCCTTTTATATGTAAACACTTTGGGATCAGATCTAGGTTGAGGCTACAAATATATTAGAGATCTTGTTAAATAAGAATAGATCTTTTGCCTGACTGTCCTAACACTTATGTTTGGACTTCCCTCTTCTTTATTTAAGGAACTGGAGACAGAAAATAAAGATTTGAAAGACAGATTGAGAGAAGTTCAGCAGGAACAGAGAATGCTACTAGACAGATTCAATGGACTTCAGCTACAGCTGAACGAGGTAAAAATAGCATCTGTGTAGTCTCATTGAAAAGCCATAATAATCCCCAGACTTCACAAGACCAGGTTCTGCATAAACCTCAGAAAAGGGTGGCTTTGCCTAGAGTTGTGCACTGCAAATTGTCAGCATTTTCACTTATAAAAGAAGCAAAAATGTATTGGCAGGTTGTTACTTTAAGTAAATTGGGTGTTCTGTTAGAGGGTCCTCTGCTTTGATAACCGTCTGTAAACTGAATGACTTTAATTAAAGGGAAAAAAATACAGCTCCAGACTTTGTTCGTCAAGCAGCATCAGAGTAACAAATACATCCTTTTCCGGAGGAGGAGAATGCTTTGTGCAAAGGACTGTCACTCTGATGTTTTCAAGGATTTTTCAGTACTCATTTTACTTACTCAGCTTACTGGGTGTGTCTACATGTGTTTTTTACATGAACCCAAACATAACGCACACTAGCCTAATGTGCATTAAGGTGATTTAGGCATGCGTCTACACGTGCACGTGCTAAGGTGCATTAGCGTGGGAGTGCGGACCGACTTAGGACTAAAGTTAGTCCCAAGTCGGTGGACACACAGTGCGTTAATGCGCATTAGTGTGTCTACATGGTCGCCAATGTGACTTAGCTATTCACGCATAAATTTGATACCTGCTTTATGCAGGTATCAAATTTAGGCTTGAATAGCCTAAAATTGCCATTTTAAGGCACATTAAGGGTGCACTCATGGAGATGCGTCCCCTTAATGTGCCTTAAATTGGGCTAATGCACATTAAATGTGCACGTGTAGATGCACCCAAAGTGTCATTTATCAAGCTGATAATGTAGATTCTTAGAACCATAGAAAATGAGGGTTGGAAGGGACGTCAGGAGGTTACATCTACTCCTACCCCCTGCTCCAAGCAGGACCAGCCCCAAATACATCATCCCAGCAAAGGCTTTGTCTAGTCTGATTTTAAACACCTCCAAGAATGGAGACTCCACCACCCCTCTGGGTAACCTGTTCCAGTGCTTCACCACCCTCCTAGTGAGAGAGTTTTTTCTAATATTCAACCTCAACTTCCCTTGTTGCAGCTCGAGCCCATTGATCCTTGTCCTGTCACCTGCCCCCACTGAGAACAGTCCAGCTCCATCCTCTGATACGTCTTGCATAGCAGACATTCCTACTGCTCAAAACCAATCTGACTAATGGCATTTTATGGTAGCTGTTAACACTTCCCAGTCAAAACTCTCTAGACTCTGTCGTGGTTACTGTTATAGCTCTAAGAACAAATTCTAACCTCATGCATGGCTATAGGTAGGGTTTTTGATATTAATGGTATCTTGCATTTTTACATGTGACTGTTGCTTGCTAATAACATTGATTGGTTGTGGGGTATTTCTAGGAAGGTGGATGATAGGAGGGACAGATTGGTATGGGGTTTAATTCTGACCTGGAAGGTGGCAATCACATTGTCACCTGCTTGCAAACCACTTACAAACTTATAATTGAAACGTGTTTGAACTTGCAATTGAAACATGGTCTCTTGTCTGCCTTATAGGAGCAAATGGTTGCTGATGATCTTGAAAATGAGGTAAGCGAATGTCACTCCCTTTCCTTGGTGATTACTAAACCCCTTGGTGAGGGGTTGTGAAGATCAGATTGGGTTGGGGCAGCAGCCATGGGCTCTGGGGAGGGGGCTGTGCAGGCAGTGGTCTGGGGGGGCCCAGCTGGGGCTGCCCAGCAAGAAAGGGCTCCTCTACCTTTCCTAGGAGCAAGCAGCAGAGCCACCTCCTTGCTCTCTGCCCTGGGCATTTGCCTGCCCGCATCCCCCTGCTCCCAGCTGTGGGCGAGGCTGGGGGGTCCTGTCTGGCCTGGCATGGACCCTGGTATCTGCTGCGCAGGCAGCACCTTGCTGGGCATGGCTATGGCAGTGGGAGCAGGATGGGGTGCATGGAGCCAGCTATCTCCCTCCTGGGGCTGTCCCGCCGCCCAGCTTGAACCCTGCACGTGACTGCTGGCGGCAGAAACAGCTTACCCGGGTGGATAGATGGGGGTCCATGTTGGGGCAGGCAGGCAGGAGCCTGCAACTCAGGGTGGGCAGGGAGCTCAACAACCACAACCTGGTAGCCAGCCCTTCGCAGCCCAGTAGCGGGCTGTGGTCCGGTGGTTGGGAACCTCTGCTCTAGACAATGAGCAGTGACTTTCAGGAAATCGGAGTTGTAATGCACATTGTTACTATCAGTGTTTTTTTGTTTGTTTGTTTGTTTTTTGTTTTTTTTGTTCTGCCATATCCATCTCCATGTGCTTCATACATGTACAGATGTTAGTATCGTAGCGAAGCGCATGGAATTGGGAAGTGAGGGGTTTTCAGCGTTAACCCTGGTGGATGTTTCTCCAGAATTTTCATTTTGGGGTTTTATTACATGTTTTGAGTACTTGTGGGCTGAGCTAGTGCCGAGTAACTGATCTTAAACCTGGAATTTTGTTTGCAGAAAGATGAGCTGAGGAGACTTCTGACAGCCAAGGAAAACCAACAGGAGGAGAGCTTAAGAACTATTGACACTCTGAAATCTAAGCTTAAGTACTATGAGGTATGTGAATTGAATTACAGGAAATGACATCTATTAGTAAATGTTGAAGCAATTGTAGTCAAACTCATAAATGTCTCGTCCCAGAAGTCATTACACGCTGCTTAAAATGGATCTGGAAATGAGTATCAACATTTCATCGTCTAGAGACAAGTAGAATGAAATGAATATTTATCTTACTTTAACCTAAATTACAGCAATCTTTTTTCCCCTTTGTCTCAGGGTGACTACATGGGGTCTGGAAGCAATTTTGGCAACAGTGAGTATATTTTATTTTCAGAACTGACCTTGTGGGTCATGCTATCTCAGAAAATCCAAGTGAAACTGTTGCTTTTTATTTCTGTTTACTTTCTTTTTTTCTTCCAGTCTTGTAGTCTTAGCTGTAGCTGCACTTAGTCAGTGGGTCATGCTGCCTTACTTCCAGGTTTAGGCTTTATATGAATCATGTACCTGTCTTGGATGGATATACAAAATTACCATATTTACTTGAATTTAAGACAAGGCTATTTTTCCACATTCAGCATGCGGGGGGGGGGACCTCTCTTGGTTTCAAGGGTGGGGAAGCGGCTGTTGTGGTTACAGCTCTAGTCCTGTCCCAGGGTCAGAGTCAGAGCCATAGCTACTGCCAGCCCCACCACCACATGCTTCCTTGATGCTGCTTTCCCCATTGCAATGGTGGGAAGGGATGGATTTCAAGAAAACCTTCCAATAATTAGATTCTAGGCATGGTAAATTATAACATATTTATAAGTTTTCTGTATATGGTATCTAATTATTGGGGGTCATCTTGAATTCATAGTTGCCTTGGATTCCAGTAAATGTGGTAATAAGATGGAGGGATGGGGGTGGGGAAACGCATGCACATGCATATGCCTACATACAAGTAGAGATGGTCTCATGTAGCAGTTGTTCTCCGAAAGGAAATGGCAGCTATATTCTGAAAAGAGAGGGAAATTTTAGTAGCTTGCATGATGGCATTAGTAAGACCACACAACTCACTGGCCATGTTCAAGAAATGCTCGTTCAGATGAATGGGAGCAGAGAAGGGCTGCTAGGATGATCAGGGGACCCCATCCTGCCAGAGGAGAAAAGATGTGGCTGCTTTAGCTGAGCCAAAACAAGGCTGAGAGAGGATAGGTATCAGGTAAACAGCAGGTAGGGAGAAATCCATTTAAGTTAAATGGCACATGAATAAATAGGTATAAATTGGTCATGGGTGTAGAACTGTAGGGAAGTAGGGCTGGAAGGGACCTCGCAAGGGCACCTTGTCCAGCCCCTTGCTCACGTGGGTTCAGTTATCATTGTGATTTCTTAGACTGGTTCAGGGAGTGGATTTTCTCTCGCCTCTGATCCATGTGGGTTACCTTCTTTGGTGCCAGGGTTTTATATTTTCCAATGGGTGTTGTGTTCAGAATAGCTCAATGGTTGTTTTGACATTGAGCACTTGCATGCATCAACCTAATCCCTAATGTAACTCCATTAACAGGCTAGAATTCTACCCCAGGGTGAAGTTCAGCTTTCTTACTCCTATTTTGCTATTTTTAAGTTAATAAAGTACCTTTTTTTTTCTCCCTCCCTGCCTCCTTTTTGGTGAACTAGGGAAGGAAGATATGCTGCATAAACAGGGTCAAGTATTTGCTGCAGAATCACAGGTAACGTTTACTTTTTGAGACCCTATTAACACATTTATTTGGCTAATATTTGTGACACATCTGCAAATTCCTAGCAGTGCTGTGCTGGAAGCAGGCGCAGTTGTAATACAGAACTGTGGATACAGGAGTGAGCTACGAGACTCCAACTTCTCTGCGTTAATTTTACGACTGCTGATGCCCTCTAGAGTAACTGTGCTGGCATAGCTCGTTAAGCCTTGGCTTCTACCGTTTTAAGAGCCGGGTTTGTTTTTTTCCCCAGCTTTATACCAGTATAGGAGGCAGTTCCGTCCCATTGAAGTACAACCAGTTGCCTTTTTTTTCTTTTTCCTAAAGTTGGTGTGTTAAATTGAGCGGAAGTGGAAGTTAATTTATTGTAAATTAAATTCCAGGGAAAACCAGTTCTTCTGGGGTTTGTTCTTCATCCTTTGGCAATCCCTCGCAGTCGAGGATGATTGTCTTCCATGATTGTCTTCCATGATTGTCTCATCTGTGTGTGTCAGATGGTCCACAGGTGGCGGTTGGTGGAATGACCCTCAGGGAAGGTTAGCTGCGAAACGAGCAGGGGTAACTCTGCCAAATAAGCAGTCACAGAGCAAGCAGTGACAGCACCACCGGTGTGTGGTGAGGACCACAGATGGCAATGGTTTCCCTCCTGAAAAGCCACATATGTCCTTTGATGGTGCTGTGGCATGGCAAATACAGGTTGCCACTATCATAAGCCTGCCCAGCTCCCAGTCATGGATCTACAAGTCCTCAACGGTGGAGCAGGTGGAAGAAGATGTTAGAATCTCAATGGTTGTGAAGGTAGATGAAGGATACAGCAGAACAAGATCCCCAGTTGTCTTTGCCTCCTTGCTACTGGGTGAGGGTCCTGTTGTGTCAAGAGCCGTGTGGAAGCAGATGTGCAGCAGCTTCTGGGGTTCATACTGGCTGATAGCAGCGTCCGATGGGGAGTCCTTCCCTGGTTCTTCAAGGAAGCGTGATCAGCCCCGAGATGACACGTGCAAGAACATTTCCCACATACTTGAAATGCTTCCTTTTTATATTTTCAAAGCATAGTTTGGAGCAGTGGCTCCAAGGAGACCTGCATTGCTGGATAAATACATGCTTCATTTCTACTTAGTAATTTTTCAGCCCAACAAATTAATTTAGGGAATGATCATAATTCCGTTTTTAAATAGACGATTAGCATTGGCTCTGCTGAAGGCCAAAGCAGTGCTCGGGGGACTGGAATAGATAGACCGTGGCTTGTCCTTTAATATGACTGCAGTTGATATTGTTAGACTAACCTGAGCATTGTAGCAAAGCTGCGTGGCCCCAGCCAGGCAGCATCCCATCACAAGGTGGGCAGGGATGATAAATTGCTGCCTCTGTACCAAGTAAAGTCACCTGTAAGCAAAATGTGCTAGGCTGATAGGGGCTAGATGTTTCTATTCAGTGGCTTCTGTTTGGCCTGGGTGACAGTGACATGTAGGTGTTCTCATTCCCATAATTGCCATCACAATTTGCACTGAATTGGGACCTTTTTCAGCCTCATCAGAGGCTTGGACATGCCGGGGTAGAAACAGAGGTACCTTTTTTTCCAAGGAGTCCCTTGACTGGACAATGGAAGGAAAAATGACAATTTTTTGCTCCTAGTTACTAGGCTTTCCAAGTACAAAATGCAGTTGCTTATTTGTCCTATTCCAAGGCGATTGTTCTTATGCCTTTCATAAGTGCTGGTGTGCATTTAAAAATTTGCTAATAAGCAGTTAGAAAATAATAGCTTGCTTTAGGAATTGAACCACTAATTGTCATCAGCTAAAGCAAAAAAGTGTGCGTATGCTGGAGCTATGCTTAGCAAATCTTACTGGGGTGGGGGGAAGATGTATTTTTGGTTCCTGGCTTAAATTATCCACATTATCCCCCCCTGCTTATAATATAAATTGCTTTTGTAAAAGTGGGGCTCATGAGGGTGAAGATGTTGGGTTTTGGAGTGCTGTATGGACAATTAGAGGGAATAGTGTGATTTTTTTTTTTTCTCTTCTTTTTTTAAATGAGCAAAGCAGTTTAAGCATATGTCTCTTTCTGTGCCTATTAATTTGCAGACTAGGTCTATGCTGAGGCCACTGGAGCTTTCCCTCCCCAACCAATCCTTCACATCTGAGAACGAACTTCTAAGGAGAGAGCTCGACAACTTGAGAGCTGCCTATGGTGCCGCAAAAGAAGAAACGAGCAGACTTCAGCGAGAGCTGTCTCATAAGGCAGCTGAATGCAGAGCGTTGGCACTGGAATATGAGAGAACCAAAGTGGAATCGGACGGGCAGATAAAGCAGTTGGAGGATGCTCTGAAAGACGTGCAGAAGCGAATGTTTGACTCGGAAGGCAAAGTCAAGCAAATGCAAACCCACTTCCTTGTGCTGAAGGATCACTTGACTAACGAAGCCGCTACAGGAAACAGTAAGCTAGTAGAAGAGCTGAAGGATCAGGTGAAAGACATGAAAGCAAAATACGAAGGAGCCTCTGCAGAAGTAGGCAAGCTAAGGAACCAGATCAAGCAGAACGAGCTGCTGGTTGCAGAGTTCAGGCGAGATGAAGGAAGGCTGGTGGAGGAAAACAAGAGGATGCAGAAGGAGCTTGGTAAGTTTGAGATGGAGCAAGAGAAGAGAGCGAGGAACGTCCTGGAGGCCGAAGGGCAGCTCAAAGACATGGCTGCAAAGCTAGCCCTCTCCGTGCCTGCTGAGAAGTTCGAGGCGATGAAGAGTTCATTATCAAACGAAGTGAACGAGAAGGCGAAGAAGTTAGCAGAGATGGAAAGAGAGAGTGGAAAGCTGCAGGCAGAATTTTGGCTTTTAAAGAGAGACCTTGAGAGTCAGAAAGTGAAATTGGTTCAGCATGTGAAGCTGGAGGAACATGAACAAATGAGACGCAGTCTCGAGCAAAAAAACGAGGAACTTGGGAAGACCGTTTCTGAAGCGATGTCAAAGAATCAGTCTCTGCAGAAGGAAATGGAGAAGGTTCACGTGGACAACAAGCTGCTGAAGCAGCAACTACAAGCACTAAAAGCGGAGGTTAAAAGCCAATACGTGCCATTAAAACTGATGGAAGAGGTGAAAAGAGCCAACGAAGTGACCATGGGTGATCTGACCAAGAAACTTTCTGAAGTCACGCAGAAGTATATTGAGAACAAAGCAGAAGCAGAGAAGTTGCTGGCAGAAAAGACCAGCTTAAGTCAGAATGTAAGTCACTTTCAGGCTGTGTACCTGTCCCCAGAACAACATGAGAAAGAAACAGCAGCCTTGAAATCCAGCCTGGCTGAAGTGAAGAGGCAGCTTGCCGAGGCTGTTCAAAAATGTGACGGCGAGCAAGTGAAAGCATGCAAGCTGGCATCAGAAAACACAGCTCTGAAAGATGCCATGAGGGATCAGTATGTACCAGTCGCAACGCATGAAGAGATTAAAACAATCCTGAACAGCACGTTGGAAAAGACAACCAGGGACCTGTCAGATCTCGAGGGAAAAACCGAAGAGCTAAAGCAAGAATTTGTGAGAGTCAATGAAGAGAATGGAACTTTGAAAAACAAGATGAAACTCCTGCAAACCCAAATCCAGACAGAATACATCAGTGGAAAAGATCACGAGCGTCAGGTGTCTGGCTTGAATGAAAGCCTGCTCGAGCTTCAGGAAAGCAATGCTGAGCTGATGGCTAAATATAAGAGAGGCCAAGAGGAGATCTTACAGTTGCATGCAGAAATTGAAGCCCAGAAGAAAGAACTCGACACAATCCAAGAATGCATCAAGTCCAAATATGCTCCGCTCTCCTATTTTGAGGAGAAAGAGCAAAACTTTGAAGCTGCGGTGAAAGAGCTGAAAGAGCAGTTGCTAGACCAGACGCAGAAGTGCCAAGAAAGTGAGGAGGAGACCAGAAGGTGTAAAGAGGAGAATGAAAAGTTAAGGAGTGAGTTTTTGTCCATACAAAATGACCTGCAACAGAACTATGTTCTGGCTGAGAAATCCCATGAAATGGAAAAAATGTTCACCGCCAGAATGGAAGAGCTGAACAAGCAGCTGAGAGACTTGCTGAAAAAATACACTGATGTAAAGCAGGAGAAGGACAAGCTGCAAGAGGAGAGCATGAAGCAGATCTCAGAAGCTCGTGCCATGCAAAGTCGTCTGCAGGGCCAGTACATTCCAGTGAAGGAGTTTGAAAGCTTGAAGGAGAGTCTTGGCCGTGCAGTTGAGGATCTGAAAGAAGACCTTGGTAGAAAGAAGGCAAGTTATGACAGAGAGGTGCAGAAAGTAGCCAAACTGCAGCAGGAGTTAGCAGATCTAAAGAATTCCTCAATACCTTTGGTAGACCACACGCAGGTAAAGGAAGTGTTGGAACGAGAAATCTTAGCAATCAAAATGACTTTGAAAGAAAAGGAGGAGGAGAACCAAGGAAAAAGCGAGGAACTCTCGAAACTCCGGTTGGAGATCCAGAGTGCTAAGCAAGCCTTAACAGACCTGGAGAGCAAAGAAGTAGTAGATATGTCAGAGTATAAATCCATGAGAAGTGCTCTAGAGACCCAGATTGCCAACGTGACTGAAAACTTGGCCAGCTTAACTAAGAAATATGAGGAAGCATGTGAAGAAGCCTTGCAAGCCAAGAAGAGTGAGCTGTCTTTGAAAGACGAAAAAGAATTGCTTCAATCCCGGAGTTCCAGCATAGAGCAAGAAATCAAGGACCAGAAAGAGAGATGCGATAAGTCTTTGACGACCATTATTGACTTGCAGAAGAGAATACAGGAATCTGCAAAGCAAGTGGAAGCAAAAGATAACAAGGTAGGCAGGAGGTGTGAAGTGCTGGATGGAAATCTGATGGGCTTTGTCTAGAGCACGAGGGCCACACGTTCAAATGTAGCTACCCAAGTACCAAAACATGTTTTGGGCATCTACATTTGGACCGTATTTGCAAAGCTGGGGACTTTGGACTAGGTATTTCATAGAATCGTAGAAAATTAGTGTGGGAAGGGACCTCAGGAGGTCACATCTAGTCCAAACCCCTGCTCCAAGCAGGACCAGCCCCACCTACATCATCCCAGCCACGGCTTTGTCCAGCTGTGTCTTGACCACCTCCAAGGATGGAGACTCCACCACCACTCTGCATAATCTGTTCCAGTGCTTCACCACCCTCCTAATGAGAGTTTTTCCTGATATCCAACCTTAACTTTTCTTGCTGCAGCTTGAGCCCATTGCTCCTTGTCCTGTCATCTGCCCCCACTGAGGACAGCCCAGCTCCATCCTCTTTGCAGCCCCCCTGCAGGGAGTTGAAGGCTGCTATTCAATCCCCCCGGGTGCATCCGGATGAGCTCAGACATAGTTTCCCAGGGATAAGTATCAGCGGCACACCTTGTACCGCTCCTGCTTGTCCCTGGGAAACACCCATGCCACACAAGCCCAGACACGTGGCAGGTTACCTTTGCTGGGGTAGGGGAGGCAGGGGCCAGCAACCATGCTTACCTGAGGTCCTGGGAGGCCTCGTGGGGCTGCAGCCATGCAGCTGGAGCATGGCTGTGACCAGCCAGGTTCTGGTTTTGGGTGGCACACACTGCTGCCACATGTGCCATCCCACTCTTTTTGGCATGTGTTTGTTTTTGTTTTGTTTTGTTTTGTTTTTTTTGACCCCAGGATGTCCTGGGGTCAACCCCTCCTGTGCTGCAAGGTAGTAGTGCGGGGAATGCCTGCATGCACAGTGTGTGTGATGGGTTTGCGGCGCCACATAGCGCACATCCACGCTTGTCTAGACATAGCCTCTCCATCTTCTGTTTTCTAGACTAAATAAGCCCAGTTCCCTCAGCCTCTTATAAGTCATTTCGAGTCCTGTCTAATTTCTCAAACACTTTAAATTTGTGCTTAACTTAAAATGATTCGTAACAGAGACCTAGTCAACTACTTCAAGTTTTCAGTGTCAATTTGGTGCCATATTCACACTGCAGGAGCATCAGGTACCTTTCCCCAGCATTTCTTTAATCTGGTAAAATTGCACTTGTTTCATGACTTCTGGTTCCTTTTGGGCATGGCCTTGGCATTCTGGCACTGCTGCTTGCCAGTTGCCAAAAGATACTGGCAGCTGATGTGCAATGTCTGACCCTCTTTAAAAACGCGTTATAAAGTGGAAAGCTGTGTTAAAGAACAGGTTAGGTTGGAAGAGCATGGTACTAACTTCACCTGCCTGTATCTTTCAACATCGGTTCATGCTCTCCAGACAAATGGATATTGCATCTCTTGCTGGTGCCTAGAGCTGCAGTTAAATGTGTACTCCGTGCTCTCCTCCCTGGAACGTGGTTTGGTATATGCTTCAAGAAGCAAATTTCCCTACGGGTTGCCCCCTTATGAGCACTGCTGCACCTGCCGTGAGACCTAGGGGCTGATTTCCCTTGGAAATCTGGGCCTGAGCAGCCCCAGGGTCTGAACTGCTGAAGTTTAAGCTCTGTGGTCCAGATTTTAAGGTTTTCCCCATCTTGGGAAGCAAAGACCAAAGCAACAGAAGCACATGACTTGTATTCAAAGCATCTAGATTGCTTTCTCATGGTAAACCTAGTATGGGCTGCCTTTAAAAGTCAAATGATGCCTCCACCTGCTGGTGTTAGCCTTTTCGTGACCCTGAAAACTAATATTCGTGGCTTCTTTTCAAGATAACGGAGCTGCTAAATGATGTGGAGCGGCTGAAGCAGGCTCTGAATGGCCTGTCTCAGCTCACGTACACCAGCGGAGTATCTTCAAAGAGGCAGAACCAGCAGGTAGAAACGCTCCAGCACCAAGTGAAAACCCTGCAGCAGCAGCTGGCTGTAAGTCACGTGAAACGTAGCTCTGGAGTCCGCTAGCGAGGCGCAGCTTTGGCCATATGTGGTGCAATGTGTGTGTGTGGTCGTGGGTATGGGCTGGAAGTTTTGGTTCTCCTGAGGCAGGGGGACTCAACCTCTGTCCTGAAATTTTGGCGGTACCAACTCTTGCTTCCCTGCTGCCAAATTTTGGGGCGCGTAGGGAGCTTTGTGGGTCAGATAGCATGCTACACAGGTGTGCCTTGGGGCCTGATCTGGGCACACAAGGGCTGACTAGAGGTAGCGTGGGCCTGATTCCTGCAGCTCAGGGCTGAGAAAGCAGTTTATGAACATGCACAGAGCTCTGGAAGACGGCGTGAGGCCTGATCCGGCCCGTGGAGCATCCCAGAGCGGCTCTGGCCCATGTCAGTAAAAGGCTGACTGCCCCCGTCTGAAAGAAAGGAACGGCATTGTTTGAACTTGCTTTTTCTGTGAATGACTGTCTTGGGAGAGACCCCTTGCATTTGCTCCCTTGTCCCCACGTGGAATTTGCAGCGTTTTTCAAGAGAGCATGTCCAGGGGAAGCATATGGGGAAAAATGATTAATCGAGGCTGAGACCCTTTGCTCTTACCACGTCCTCCCATTAGTATCCTCCAAAAATAATGAATGATCCCTGAATGCAACTGCTGCAGTAATTCCTGACAAACAGTTGCCCATGGTGCTTTCTGAAACACCTAGAGGTAGTTCCTGCCCTGGGGATTTGCTGATTTAATGTCTCACACCTGCAAATACTTTTGAGCCTGTTGCTTACCTCTGTGAACAGTCGAACTCGAGTGGAGCTATTTGTTGTAGCAAATGCCCAGGCAAACCACGTCCCCCCCCCCCATGTTGGTCATCCTGCTTGTTTTGTGGAACTGCTCGTGGGAAAAATCACTCGTCGCCCATGTGACTCACCTGCATAAATCTGCACAGAACTGGGCCAGGTTCTCAGTGGCAGGATTGATGCTTACAGTGAGGAAATGAGCTTGGGGCTCCCACACAGAGCCAGCACCTGGACACGATACTGAATCAGCACATCTTTTTCCGATTAGGCTTGGTTCCAGGCAAAACACTTTGTCAAGATGAAAGCAATGGTGTAAGCCTCTGTCATTCGGGTAATGGCAGGGGGAGGGGAGTGCAGCCATTGGGAACACTAATCTTGAAATTTCAAATTAACCCACGCTGATGCCAGCAAAGTCAGGCCAGTTATGCGAAGAAGGGACATTGGAAATGCACGCAACTCATTTGTCTCTTCTGTCGCCCTCTCCATCTTCTATCTACAGGATGCTAAAAGACAGCACCAAGAGGTGATTGCAGTTTATCGGACCCATCTTCTCAGTGCTGTGCAGGTGTGTGAGCTGGTCTGACACGTTTGAGTCCAGCCCTTTTCCCCACCCCCACCCCCACCCCCAAAGAATTCTCTATTTAAAGCCTGTCTACACAATGATTAATGCCTCGCATTAGAGCCTCCAGTCTGCCTTTTTAAAAATTACAGGCAAGACAACACCCCTCCCTTTTATCACCAGAAGGAAAGTGAGAAGCAAAACAGCAGGTTTAAATTTAGTGTCGTCTTAATCTGCTTTTCACTTCTTGGAGGCAGCTTGATATAATATACAGGGGTGACCCAGTTTGAAGTTGTGGTCTCTGATGACGATGGAAGTCTGTTAACATACGCAACATCCCAAATATTTCTGGAAAGGAGTTAACTTGAAAGCTTCCAACATTCACTTTTCTTGAATGGGAAATGCAAGTTTATGCAGAGAGAAGCATGCTTTCCCTGGGGGTACTCACTGAGCACACTAATAGGATTTGCCTAAGAAGGTTAATAAGGTATGAAGTTTCAGACCCTCAAATATAAAATTATAGAATCGTAGAAAACTTGGTTTGGAAGAGACCTCAGGAGGTCACATCTAGTCTAACCCCTGCTCCAAGCAGGACCAGCTCCAACTACATCATCCCAGACAAGGCTTTGTCTAGCCAGGTCTTAAACACCTCCAACAATGGAGAGTCCACCACCTCTCTGGGTAACCTGGTCCAGTGCTTTAACCCTCCTAATGAGGGAGTTTTTCCTAATATCCAACCTCAACTTCCCTTGCTGCAACTTGAGCCCATTGCTCCTTGTCCTGTCATCTGCCCCCACTGAGACCAGCCCAGCTCCATCCTCTTTGCAACCCTCCTGCAAGGAGCTGAAGGCTGCTATGCAATCCCCCCTCGGTCTTCTCATCTGCAGACTACATCAGCCCAGTTCCCTCAGCCTCTCCTCACCAGTCATGTACCCCAGTCCCCAACCCTTTCCACTGGACTCTCCAATGTGTCCATATCCTTTCTGTGGTGGGGGGCCCACAGCTGGACACAGCACTCCCCAGTGCTGAATGGAGGGGAAGAATCACTGCCCTCCATCTGCTGGCAGCACTGCTCCTGATGCAGCCCAGGATGCCATCTGCCTTCTTGGAAACAAGGGCACACTGCTTGCTCGTATTCAGCTTAAATCTATATGGGTCACTGAGAGCAAGGGACTGTCAAACTACGGGAAACCCGTAGGATGTTTGGAGGGTGAATAGCAGCTCCTCTGAATAGGCACGGGGTTTCTAAATGGGAAGTTTTCTAGCTCTCCAGCTCTGTTGTAGCCAATAGGTTACATTTGGCAACTCCTCGTCCCATCGGCGGTGACTTAACAATGCAAAGATTGCATATTTGGTTTGGGAGGGCAGGAGCCTCTTGTTGCTGGAAGGTAGCAAATGTGGTCCCCATTTTCAAGAAGGGGAAGAGGGAGGACCCGGGTAACTATAGGCCCGTCAGTCTTACCTCAATCCTGGGGAAACTCTTTGAGAAGATCATCAAGGAGCACATTTGTGATGGGCCGGCATCAGAAATGATGCTCAGGGGCAATCAGCATGGATTTATTAGGGGGAGATCA